CAGCCCCGGGGCTGCCCCTCAGCCTCCCGACAGGCGCTTCCAAACCCCCACGTTCTTCCCTGATCCGCACATGTGAAAAGAATACGAGCAAAGATCTCAGAGAAACGGGAAAGATTCCCAACGGCGCCTCCAAGTTCCATTGATAAAGTCACCCTCTTTGTGTCCTGCAGGAACCTCCTGTAACACACGCCTTTCCACGTGTGGGACGTTCTTGCTACAATTACTGTCAATGACTTCCATTGTGTCGCTTCATCACAAGCCTATCTCACACCTGTACAATACTTGGGAACAAACGATGAATGAAAATTAAGATCTCAGCTGTAATTTTTGTTGGCTGACAGCTGTAATTATTTCAGTATCAAACTGAATCATATTAACTAGCCTTTGAGTAGAGCTTAATGAGTCATACAGTCAAGACACGATGTAAGCAAATAAATTATTTGCCTGACATTAGAATTTAATGGATTAACAAGCTCTATTTGCACTAGGAGAGTTTTTCTTAGGATGAATTAATTTTACTTTCTTTTGTGGTTTGTGCAACTCTGTGGCCCCATCTACTGGATGGTTTTAATGCGAATGCAGGAGAAAACCACATTTTTTGGTGTACTTGCAAGTATCTGTATGAAAAACAAGTTATTTAAGAACTCTTAGGCAAATTGCTCATGTACCATGAATGTAGGAATCTTTTTCTTACTCAGTCTGTAGTAAATGGGTGGAATCCATCATGCAGCCCAGTGAGGCTCCATTTGAGACTGTTCTAATGAACACATCTCGATTTTCCACACTTCTGTTATCCTGTTATTTGGCTAAAAGCCAGACACCAGCTTTCAAAACAGGAGTCTATTTATTTTTATTTGCAGAATTTTGAAAGCTATCCTCTAAACATAGGTGTTTCATTAATTTGCTCTTTAACACTGGAACTGTAATGAGGGACTATTTAAATTAGCCCTTGTTAAACCTGCAGCACAAGTCAGATCTTGTTTCAAAGAGCATATTTTATTGAGCTAATCAGGGGAAAAAATTCCAGTAAAGTATTTTTTCATTGGAATTTACTGATTAAAGTTACTAATTGAAATCAGCTTTTGGTATAGATCTGTGAACTCCTAGTGGGCTTCAGGTTCCGCTTGAAGCAAAACCTCTCTGGCTCTTCAGCCTTCTCAGGACTGGAATCCTCAGAATTCATGAGGATCAAAGAGTCCCAGGAGAGCCCCAGTGCACTTCTTACAATTTTACTGTTATTGAAGAGATAGTATTACATTTAATTACTACTATTAATGAATGGATATTTTCTGCCTCTTGCAAGCACATAGAGTGTTATAAAAAGGAAGAGGTTAAAGAACTTCTCTTTGCAAAATGTTTGAAGCAAAAGTGTTAAGTGGCATAGCTTCTGTCTTTCTCAGCTCAGCTAACATGTATTATACCAAAGAAGCAGGATTGTTAATGTGGTTTCATTTGTACCAGAGATTTTGATGATGTTATGTCAATTTCAAATAAAAAAAAACCAACCCAAATTGCTATAGCTATGCAGAGATTCTTTTTTAATTTAGTTTTGCTGGCTTCACATTTTAGTTATATCGCATTAATTATTTTTAAAGTCACATCTTTACCTTATTTATCTTTCAGTCCTATTTTCAAAGAATCACATACATGTACAGAGGACATTGAGTGAAATACTTAAACCGCTGTCATTCATAAACTGATTTATGGTATTGACTTCTACCTGCTTTTATTTATAAATATGAAAATTAAAAGCCATTGCAATGATTTTTTAGTTTAGTTTAAAAATAAGATATTCTTAAAAGGTCATTATTTATCAGACATTAAGTGAGGAGCTGCAAAATATTCTCTCCTCCATCTCCCAGGGGCTGTATTTACTCTCAATGCCTTCACCAGGAGCCTATTTTAGTATGACTCTTCCTTGTTATCCAGTAAAAGAGATGCAGTCGGTGGGATTCTCACTGTGGCTCATTAGACCAGATGCTGCTTACAGCCTGTGCTGGGAGCTTTACTTGAACAAACAGCTCCAGGGTTATATCAAATCCCTTCTGCATCATCTCCATTAGCTCGTTGCTTCAGATAACAGCAAACCTAATCAGGAGCTATTTGGGCAAATTCAATTAATGTTTGGGACCCAGTTGCACTAAGAATGCAGAGCTGCCCCCAAATATCTATTTAAGTAGTTACTATTTTATTAAAAAAAAAAAACTAACAAAAAAACCCCCAAAACAAACAAACAAAAAAAGGAAGGAATGTCGAAATGCTGTTATGTCAGCATCACATTAAATTTAATGTGTAGAAAAGGAACAAATCTGGCAGTGCCAGAGAGAGGGAGAGGCCTGCAGAGGGCAAGCTTGGTCAAGGAATCTCATTTTTCATGCAGCAGCTACTTGAAGTGAAGAGTGGCTGAGGAAAATTCCCTCTCAGCCATATTGGCTTTTCTCTTTTACTGAGCTCTAGATACAGCTTGTTAGCATTGCTCTCTTGCAATTTGAAATAATTGAAAAAAAAAACCTCAGTAAGTGCAATGCCAAGCAATCAAAAGGTAGGAGAGGGTCAGGGATTGTTGTGGATGAGAGAGGTTTTCTCACACATGACCCTGCTGCATTTCCTGGCTCACTGCCCTAAGCAGCTCCCACTGCCCTGGGACTCTCAGGTGAAGTTAGACAAATCTGTATTTCTCCCACTCCTAAAACACTGAGAATTTCCAATTAATTTTTTTTTCTGTAATAATACACTACAGGAGTCTCAGCTAATTTGAAACTAAAATCATGTCTACCTTGTTTTACATCAGGCTGAGGCTAGAATCTTGCAGAAAATAAGAATTTTACATCTATTCAGGGGTTTATTTTTCTGGTTTTTGTTTGTTTATTGTTGTGGGGTTGTGTTTGTTTGGGGTGTTGGCTTTTTTGATTTTTTTTTTTTTTTATTTTATCCTTGCCTTTAACTGCTGCAGAGTCCCCACAGGAGTTTCTGCCCACATGAACTTGCTGTCAGCAGCTGTCCTGCAGCCCCCCGTGCCCTGCAGATCCTCTGCAGCTGCATCAGCAGGTGGCCCCAGAGACCTGGCATGGAAACTCAGCGCCCCTGCTGAACCTCAGGAGTTTCAATGCACTCCCTTTCTGTAGTAGAAGTGGTTATAGCCTCTTACTTACAAATGGGAGGGAGAGAGGAAGAGATGCCCACGTGGAAGAGTGTGCAATGGACCTTCCAAGGGGCAGTNTCCCTCTGGGATTTTACCCTCACCATGTGGTGTTAATCCAAAAACTTTCCTCTCCTCCCTTTCAGGAAACAACTTTCCTTTTTCCCTGGATCAAAGCTAGAGATAAATATTCTGTTGTATATTCAGGAAATTTACCTAAGCCTTTTCTGAATTTCACCTTCTCAGAGACAAAGATGCATCATCCACTTCCCTGAGCTTCTTTCCAGAGGTGTATTTTACTCTAATGGATTCTAGATTTATAAAGAAATTATGAAATTATTATTATACTGCAGAATATGGTGAGTCTTGATTAACATTTTCTGTAGTAGGGTAAATATTAAATATATCTTATATAGATATATATAGGTAGAATCCTCAGCTTGACTATCACAGGAAAACTCACAAAGAAAGAAAGACTCCCTTAATCTTAAATTACAGCAATTGTAGATAGTTTTCTCATTAATAGGGTGCAACTGCCATATATATATGTATATATATCTATATATATAATGTTGCATAAAAAACAAGCTCAAAATTAA